TCTTTCCCTCTTGACACGTGATGGATGCCACAACGACATCTGCTTATGAGAACGTTTGCTGCTTGGACATGAGTTGTGATAAGCATTTGCAACCTGAGGGGAATGGATGGTAAAACCATACGCTTATGCGCCAAAGATACAATAGGAAAGAGACAGTCTATTCTCACGTATGAACTGTGATTGGCCTGTTGCAATGGAATAGCCTTTAACAACAACAACAAAAAAAAAAAAAAAGCAAGCTATTTACCTTCTGAATGGATTTTACATAGTTGCACAAAAGGGAAAAGAAATAAGAAGAGAAAAAAGAATAGAAGAGAAAGGTTCCCACCAGCTCTTCCCCTCCGTAATTAGCATTGGCATTGGCGAAGTCACACACAAAGGAAAGTCTCACTTTCTTTGTGCATCTCACAATGACATTAACATGCATGGCTATGAGATGACGAGAGAATACCTCACTCACAATGAGTTAACAAATTAGAACTTTTTTCAAAGTAAAAAAATGATACACAAGACCATCATAGGTATATGCTAGCTCTTTCAAAACATGTCTTTTTGACTAGATGTCAATTAAAATCACTTGACTGGTGATCTGTTCTATCTTATACGGCAGAGGGGGATATTCTGAATAAGATGAAGAATATCTGCTATGCAACTTGACTAGAACATCTGCCAGAAATTAAGTGGGCTTTGTTTTCAATATGGTCATCTACTTTAAATTACTCCATAGAATAAATAGTGGTATTCCATGGGTAGAGGTAGATTATGGGGTTTAAATAATCAAATTGGAGCCCCGTAATTTCATGTGCTATAGGAGGATTCTCATAAAACTGAGATATTCCCATAATTAACCACTAGCCATGGGATATTATAATATATTCCATGGTGACTAGTATTTTTTCCATTTCCCTGCCCCCCTCCCAGCAGAATTAGTATGTTTAATTTTGCTCTGGTTTCACCTATTGCTAACACAAATCAGTGTAATTAAAACCAAGTATACCATGTTATGAGGCGCTCACTGTTTAGGCCAAACTGGCTGGTAATGGCCAGTCAGACCTTTCCCAGTTGGCCTTTGCTGCTAGAAGGTTGAAGGAGCTGTAACTCACCAACCTACACTTGCAAAAGGAGCATGTTTTAGAAAATGTGGTTCAAAGCTCTTTGTAGTTCAAAATGCTAAATTCTAGTGGAATATTATAGAATAGATTGATTTGCATGCCATGGAATAAACATCCTTACATCTAGTCTTGTCTCCGAGTGAGTCATTTTGCATTAGTGTCAAGAATTTGAGCTGTTGTTCTACTTTGCGGTTAATCATCAGAAAGAGACGGGATTGTCTCATGAATATGCATGATGGTATGGTTGTCCCTTCAACTTACTAGGCACCTAGTTTCTGTAATGAGATGTACAATATCTGCCATTTAAAACAGCTGAAAGGTCCCAAATGGGAACAAATGAGAAAGCATCAGGCTGTTTCGAATTCCAGCCCTGTTTTGTCAGAAAACTCTAATTGCTGAGAACTTGGCTCCTACTCTGCTCTATTAAGCATTCAGCTCTCAGGAGCCTCTGAGATGCATTACACAGTCCAGCAACACAGCTGTAGAACTCTCAAAATTCTTCCACTAGAAGCTTTTCAAAATATCTTGAGACTTGTATGCCCTTAACCAGGACCAAAGTTTGGGCTCCTAGAGCGTGCTCTCATCCTTAGTTTTGCTGATCAGCCTCCACTGTACCATTTGTCCCTGCAACCTAGACTTCACACATATTATTCACTGTGTGATGGTGGGACTAGAATGGATAAATGTGCTACCCATTGCTCTAAGAAAGCAGTCTGGCTGAATCTTAAATCACTACGCGGGATGGAGGTTAACGGTCAGATGGACATTCCTCTAAGAGGTTTCCTACCTGCTCTGTTAATTTCTAAAATTTCTTCTTGGGCCAGTGGGCAAGTGTCGCTCTGAGTACTGTGGTGTGGAGAGTTTACGACAGATTTACAATAATTGGGGGATCCCAGCTGGGGTGGCCTCGGGATATGCTTCTTTTTTTTCTTTGGTAGCTTCTGCTTAGCCATAGCTAAGGAGTAATACATTCCGAAATTGTTCACAATGACAGGGACAGGCATGGCAATGGTCAGCACACCAGCAAGAGCACAGAGGGCCCCCACCAGCATGCCTGACCAAGTCTGAGGATACATGTCTCCGTAGCCCAGGGTCGTCATGGTGACAACAGCCCACCAAAAGCCGATGGGGATATTTTTAAAGTGTGTGTGTTCACTGGCACTAGGGTCATTTGGTTTAGCACCTATTCTCTCGGCATAATAGATCATCGTGGCAAAGATTAAGACGCCCAATGCCAAAAATATGATGAGCAGCAAGAATTCATTTGTGCTGGCACGGAGGGTGTGTCCCAAGACCCTCAACCCAACGAAGTGGCGGGTCAGCTTGAAAATTCGTAGGATTCGCACGAAACGGACTACGCGGAGGAAGCCCAGGACATCCTTAGCAGCTTTGGAAGACAGGCCACTGAGTCCAACCTCTAGATAGAAAGGCAGTATGGCCACAAAGTCAATGATGTTCAAAGAGTTTTTGATAAATTCCACCTTGTTTGGGCAAAAAGTGACTCTCATCAAGAACTCAAATGTAAACCAGACCACACAGACACCTTCAATGTAGGTGAGAAAGGCTTCAGTTTCTGCTTCCCTGTAGTGCCGCACCTGGGTGTCATTCCCGATGAATTCAGTTTCTGTCTTGTTCACAATGGGGTTAAATCTCTCATGGGTCTCGAGGCAGAAGGTGGTTATGGAGACCAGAATGAAGAAGAGGGAGGCAAATGCCACATACTGTGGAAAGAAAGAAATGAGAGATATGTTAAGCAGTAGTTTAAGTACAGGGCTTTGATTCTGAAACACCAGCATGAGACAGGAGCTGTATTAAAACCAAAGATAATGCCAAGCCTTCTTCCTTTGGGCATAAGATGCCAGGTCTCAGCTGCAAAGACAGCCTAACATTCAAACTTGGAGAGAGAGCAGTATGTAAGTACACGCTAAAATCCATTCCTATACCAATAGTGGTTTAGTGTGTGTGTAAATTTAAGCAAGCATTTATATCTTGCTTAAATCTTGTCTCTGGGATTCAAGATTAAGGACATACTGAAATTCTACCTTCCTGAACTTGGTCTTCTGTTACTTCCTGGTTTTTAATGATAGAGTACACCTTCTAAGGCAATTGTCATGCAAGATCCTTTTTGCAGTATTGTGTCAGTGGTATGGTGGCTGCCTTCTGCTCCCAGCTTAGTGACAATTACGGTATTTCAGATCTCAGTAAGGGGCTAGTAAATACTAATGGCAGTCTGAGGTGGGCTCTACAACAGCAGAGTCCTGCTTGGCATCATCTGACTTTCTTACCAAATCTGAGGGACAGATTGAGGAACAGTCGCTTATCAAACCAAGCTCTCCTAGAGTAAGTTCCCTTCTCCAGATCTTTTGGGACTGGGGGACAGGGAGGGGAAGAGAGAGGTTTCAAGCAAGCCTGTCAGCTGAGCTGAAGAGTGACACATCTATTGGATTTTACTAGACAAGGTTTTCCGTAAGAGATTCTCATTACAGTGTAAGACTTCTACCTGTTTTAACAGGCCCTGCTAAAATGTCTGTCCCGGTCTTTCTTATAAGCCCCCTTTAAGCACTGAAAGTTTGCAATAATGTCTCCTTGGAGCCTTCTCTTCTTCAGGCTGAACAACCCAAACTCTCTCAGCTTTTCTCAGACTTTCCTCAGCCTAAAGGAGATCTCTTGGTTGTATTCCAGGGTTAATTGAGGGGTACAGTCAGGCTCTTGCAATCACATTTCCTCTGCTCAATCCTCCTTTAATCAATTAAGTAGTTTGCATGAATTGAAGAGGTCTTTGTGTGTTGGAGTGGTACAGTAATGCTAATACCTCTTTCCATTCCACTCCCTACCTTGTTATCTTCCTGTTTGTCTTGTGCGTCACCTTGACAAGAAACATCACATAAGATACTATTTTACTGTCTTCATGAGCAACTGTGATAATTAAAATATTAGCCAAATATTCGTATACTGTCTTGCTGTTCATAATGTCCCTTTTTCAGCAGTGTAGCCAAAATAGGGGTTTAAAAGAACAAATTTCTTATAATTGTCTGTTGCCAGTAAATGCAGTGCAATAATCTAAACACAATTGCTGCCAAAGGAATAGACCAGTTAAAAATAACCTATGCTTCAAGCTACCTTTCTTGTAATCAAGGTGTTAATCTGCTGTCGTGGGTAGACAGAAGTACACTTGACCTTCCATACTGGCAAACAAAGACAGAAGCAAGGATTTGCCACAGTTTGGGGTGAACCATTTACCAAAATACAGAGAAAGTGGCAGAGAATAGAATCACAGAATCGTTCCATTTGGAAGGGCCCTCTGGAGGTTGTTTGGTACACCTTCAAAGTTGGATCAGGTTGCTCAGGGTCTTGTCTGGTCCAGGTCTGAATATCTCCAAGATCCCACAGCCTCTCTGAACAGCCTGTGTCAGTATTTGGCCAGTAAGAGCAGATAAGCTTGGAAGAATAGGGAAGCAAACTGGCTCTTCTGCTTTTCAAATTCAACTTTGTTGCCAGAGAGATCAGAACTTAGTCATTGTCACAAATTTAAAAAAAAACAAACAGTACCTTTCCCTAAGTGATTCACTCTCTCATAGCCTTGTTATGTGATGATCTAATACGTGTGCTGATATGGGCTAAAATCAATGTCTAATATAAAATAGTTGTCTGGAAGATAAACAATCTGGAGGTTAGGGAAATTGAGAAGCAGGACTGTGGGTAACTTTTTGTCAGATTCTCCTTTTAAACAGGGAAATTTCTCCATGCACAGTTTCTCCATCTGTAAAATAGGTCAAAACACCCCCCCAGCTGGTGTTTGTCCTGTGCTTTGTGATCCTAGTTGAATGTGTACAGGTTCTATATACTTTCATTTTAATATTACTGACTTTAGTGTATCAACAGTCTCCCTGATAAATAAGTTGAAGAGTCTTTTAAGTGGTCAAAGTCAGTTTGTGTACAATATTGTTAACACTCAGCGCTTAAGTAGAGGTTAATACCCCAATTGTCTGAGCATGAGTAAAACAAGAAACAAAATGGGTCTTGCAGTAAGAACTCAGAAAATGTTCCTAGCAGTCTCAGCATGTCTGCTTTGTTTCAGCCTGGAGCAGATTTTTACTGTAGAGTCATAGAGCCTTGAGAATTGAAGCTGCAGAAGGAAATGCTGACACTTGTTAAGTCAGGTAGCACTCACAGATAAGAAGCAGAGAGGGAAATAAATCCATTTCAATAAAAGCATTTTGCATTTTAAGGGGTCTGTGAAGAAGGCCCCTTTCTTTATGCTGACTCAAAATGCAGTTCACTTGGTGTATATGAATATCTTTCCTGAGTGAGTGGTGTTTTGCTGTATTAAAGGAAAGAAAGAACCAATTCTGACAGGGCATTTAAGTTCTCTGCAGTGGTACATGCTAGCAGTATTATCAATAGAGAACATCACACCCATGATCTCTCTTGCTGTTAGCTCTTGTGTGTGCACACCTTGGCTTCAGAGGGGAATACAGAACTTTTTGTCCCCAGTTCAGCAGAGCAGGAAGCACCTGCTAAATGAACATGAAGTGTTTGCTCCCTTCCATGTGTCTTTAACAACATTGAGAGCCCTTTCCCAGACATGGGCATGTTCTTGAATGCTTTGCAGCTTTGGAAGTGTGGGTCTGCTTTCAAGAGTTCATAAAACCATCTGAGCAATGGTATTGACAGGAAGAATCCCAGTATTTCTTCTTAAAAAATTTTTTTTTTTATTAACTTTGTTGAATCACTATCTAATCCTAAAACCTATTTGATATTTAGAAAGTAAAAATGCTTCTTAGTTACTCCATGCTTCAATACTGAAAGGCCTTTTGTTTTAGAATAAAGTCTGCACAGACTGAAAGAAGACAGTGGAGAGCAGCCTTTTAATAAAGGTCCTGTTACAGTTCCCCAGTCCCTTGGCTGATACAAAGAACTGCACAAATGCCTGGGAATCAGGTCTGACAGTGCATTCACTGGCACCCATCTCTCATAGATTTATCACTTGCAGCTGCTTGGAACTCAGAAATTTAGCAGCTTGCCACAAATGAATGAATAATATATCATTGGCATAGGGTTTTATTTTTTTTTTTTTGTGAGCCTCAATTTTTATTGCCCTCATCCTTTTTGTCTTCTGAATATTTTTCTTGGTTAATTATGTGCTGTAAGATCTAGCGAGCTGTAACCAAAATCCAAAAGTACCAAATTCAGAGAGTATGTTTTTCTAGGGAGACCAGCATCCATTCATGCCAAAAGGGTCAAAAAAAGCTTTCTCTGGCCCACTGTCTGAGGCCAACAAAGAGGAGCTATCATGCCTAACATAGTAGCTTGTCACAGCCAGAGATGAACAATGCTGGTAAGATCTAGTGAAGATTATGGGACTCGTATGTGTTCTAACATCTTCGAAAATGAGACTATCTCTTTTTATTTCACTAATAATGGCCTAAACACTAATCAAACCAATGGATTGCTCTTGTATTATTTAGTAGTTCTTAATCTTCTTTCTCATTACATTTTACAACAGAATTTCTCTTCTTCCTAGGATCTGAATGGGCTGGGGGAAAAGAGTGAGGATATTATGAAGTGATGTCACATGCTGTTGAGTTGCATAATGGCAGATAAAATTTTCTTTAATTAAAGAAAATACCTAGGTAAAGTGTTTGAAGTGATCAAAACTCTGTTATCTGCTTTGACATATGTGAATGATTCCTATTTCAGTAGAGATGCTGCTGCCTTTGCTTTTTTCTGGTTCTCATACCAGCAAAGAAAAATCTCAGATTGTATAAAACCATAGAAGCCATAAGGGAAGGCAGAGAGGAGATTTTAAAAAGGGTATTTTTATTAAAATATCAGTTATGTTAAAATGTCTTCATTCTGGAGTAATAAGAAATCACACTTTGCATAATTTCTGTTAATAGCAGGTATATTTTAATAAGCTTATTTCAAAAGAGTCTAAAAGATGTCATGCCCAGAAGTGGAGAATTTCATCATGTAATTTACACTGCCTCTGATTCTATCTATCTATCTATCTATCTATCTAATCTAAGAGGCTGTCTTCTCCCTGCTTCTCCCTTGTCCTACGTCCAACCTAGCCATTTTTGCCAGTGAAGTGTGACTATGAAGTGCCAGTTAATATGGAATAATAGTGTTTCACGTCAGCTTTGCGTAGCTGTAAAAGGAGCACGGTAACAGGATCAGATCTAGCTTCTCATGAATAATGAGCCAGTATCTTTCTACTCTGCATGTATGTCTGGAGTGGGGACCTAGGAAGGGAGACCTTGACTGAGTCTTTGGTAACAAGGATACTGCTTTTGGACCACAGACAGGAAGAAAAGTGTCAGTAGAAGCTGCATGGCTTTTGCAAGTCAAGTTCCAGTAACTTCAGAGTTTGTTTTCTAGTAAATAGTGGTCTACACAACACACCATTCACAATTCATTCCAGATCATGCGTTCAGAGTGAGTTGGTAGAAGCTGCACACCACAAATGGGTGCTCTTTTCCCCTGATACTGCTCAGAATCATTTAAGAACCCTAACTCAAGCTAGATGGGAGAAAAGAAATAAATAGATCACATTCAGAGATTTGTCAGCCTCTCCCTTTGCAGCTACTAACAGAAGTATTTAGAAAAGTGTTTCTTTAGCCCTATCCTTTTACAGGGAAATTCAGGAAATTCTATCCTTCCCTGAAACTCTGGGTGAAAGGCAGAGGGAGACAGCATTTTGTTTGAACTACAGCTGTTGAAGCATCAGGAAATTTTCAATAGACGAGGCACCCTGTCCTTATACTGATCTATTCAAATGAGGTTTGTTTTCAAT